CCAAGTTGTTATTATCTTTTTGGTGTGAGGGATTGAACCCAGGGCTTTGTGCATGATAAACACATCCTCTACCACTGAGCTATAGTTCCAGGGAGTCCAGAGTCATCTGTAATCAGTACTTTAAAAATGTGATTCAGCTCTGAGTTTCACATTTGGGGTTTGTTATGGCTTGTAGCTAGATGTCCCTAAAGCCTCATGTGCTCATAGGGGTGCTTTCCAGAGGTGGCTGGATCTAGGGTGTGTGACAATGGGATTAAGGGTGTGGTAGTAGATTATCCCACTAATTGGTTTAGCATAGTTCTGGATAATGGGAAGCCCCATCCTGGCTGTGGGTGCCACCACACAAAAGGCTTGTTGCCTGTATGGGATAAAAGGGAAAAGAAGGCTCACTTCTTGCTGCCTTCTGCCTGCCATGACACAAACTCTTCTTCCTCTGTGATGCTCCTCAGTCATGCCACTCTGTCTTCGAGCCAGCTATGGACTGAACCCTCTACAAACTGTGAGCTGAAATAAACCTTTCCTCCTTTAACTTGTAGGTGTCAGGTATTTTGTCTCAGCAAAGAGAAAAGTAACTAAAACAGGGTTACTGATAAGAAATCTGATGCTGTTTTTCAAAATTTTATTTCCTTACATGGTCAGGAATTGAACTCAGAACTTCATCCATGCTAGGCAAGTGCTCTGTCATTGAGCTACATCCCCAGCCCTGATATTCTTATTTTCTTTTCAATCCATACTCCCTCCCCAGGTGACCTCAGCCAATCTCAGTCAGCATTTACCATTTATGTTTTGGTGACTTCAGAAATTATAGTTCCTTCCCAGTCTTCCCTCCTAAGATACAACTTCCATCTCATGTGCATCTCAAAATATTCTCTCTCTTCATTCCCATATCAATACTTTTGTGGAGCCCATAATCTCCCAAATCATCTGCTTTCATCTTATTCTAATCTAACCTCCACACAGTAGGTGAGACTCAGAAAACAGAAACCTAATTATCCAGCCCTCAAAATTGTTGTCCCAGGATAATGTGCAGTCTCTCACTGTGATCTAGATAGCTCCATATAATCTGCTACTTTTCCCTTGACCCTTGACCTGCCTGACCTCCTAACTATGCTTCAACCACATCAGCCTCCATGCTCTTCCTCTAGCAACACCAAGTACATTTCTGCCTCAGTGCCTTGGCCTTAGCTATTCCCTTTGCCTGAATGCTCTTCTTCCAGATATCTGCATGTCATACTCCCTGTGTCTTTGAACTTTTGCTTAAATGCCACTTTATCAATGAGTGAGGCATTTCCATAGAACTATAACCACTTTTAAGTATTAATTTTGACCTTGGCAATAGGGTATACTAACCATTAATAAATTCGTTGGCATTCAGAATAGATGCTGTTAATTTCAGTAAGATTAACAGAAACGATAAAATAGTTTGATGGAAATGTAAGATTCCACTATTGTGTCCATTTAGATAGATCATGTTGGTCCACAGAGGTCAGTAACTGAGCACACCTACGTGTGGGAATGACTTCATGGTAGTCACTTGTGTTACTTCTGCTGCACTAGAGAGAGCTATTTCCCAGTACTCTTTAAATATACCTGATGATCCTGTCCACTTAGCACTTATTTGATTTTATAGTTCTTATTAAACCCCATGCAATAAAACTGAGGCAGTTTGTTAAATTTTCTAGGAAGTCAAACATGAATAAAAACTTTAAAATGTGATTAGTAAAAGGCATAATTGAATCTTGGATGAACTTAATATATCTCTTCTTTGGCAATCAGCCCTCAGATTTCAGAATTATGAAAAACATACCCAGCTTTGATCTAGCTACAAAAATAATAAAACCTTAAAGTAAGAACTGCCCACTCCTCTAAGACCAGAATCAAGCAAATGGCCAGGCAGATGGTAGTTTAAAACTGAAGAAATCCCGGGGGGCACGTGGGAAGGGTAAGGAAGATGGGCAAAGTAAAAAGACACAGAAAACAATTCCAAACTTTCCTCTGCTCCTTCTTTCTGCCCTATGACCCATAGAACTTGCTTACTGTCTTACCTCAACTTGAGAAAAAAATTGGAGGAAAATAGCTTTAGAATCAGGACAGACCTCAGTTTGACCTCTCTTGGCTTCTAACTAATCTGAATTCTAATTCCTTGATTTATGTAAGAGATAATGCCTTCCTTATGGAGTGGTCCTGAGAACAAAAGGAACCACAGCAGAATGTACACACGAAAGGCCTCCATCTGAATCTCATTTCCTGTCTTGATTTCATGTATCCTATCCCCTCCAGCATCTGATAACCTTCCTACTCAAGGTGTGGGGTGAGGACCAACAGCATAAACAGCCCTGGAAGCCTCCACAGAAGTGCACAGTCTTGGACCTCACCACAAACTTGCTGAGGCTAACAGGGCTAATAAAGGCGTGGAAATGTGAGCAGTGTTGTCCCCATGGAAAAGTCCCCGTGGCTTCTGACAGCCTGACTATTAACCACATGGAAGCACTTACTTGGCCATTTATAGTCATTGTATCCTTTGCTGTGTGACGAGAAGTGATATCTGTGTTTTTCACATGTGATATATGTTGGCGACATCAGTCTGGATAAGATGATCTGGGGCAGCCTCCCAGTTGAGGAGTGGGGCTGGCAAGGTAAACCATCCCAGGCCTTGCAGATGATTCTCTGGGAGCTTAGACTGCCCGTTGGTCAGATGCCCCACTACTTCCATCAAGTGGACGAAAAGCTAAAGCAAAGAAATGGTTATTTATAATTCCCCTTGAGTTTAGGAGATAGAGTCTAGGGAAGAAGGAGGCAGAGAAGAATATTTATCTTTTACGGGAACTGGGTAAAAACAACATAATTCAATTACCTTCAAGGTGCACTAAGTATTTGTAACAATAAACGAACACCTGGAAGACTTTTGCTCAAGTATAAGACAAGCAGCAGCCAGAATTAAAATAAAGTCTTTCCAACTATATTGCTTAAAAAAGAAAACTTTTAACTGGCTTATTGAGGATGCTCATACGTGTTTGAAACATAATCTTAATTTCCCCACCTTACTGCCTTTAATTTATTGAAACTCCCTTTGGCAATGGCTATCAAGTCTCTTAACCACTGTGACCAGATTCCATAACTTGTGAAGCATGTCAATGATTAAACCTACTGAAACTGACAACTAGTTAAAACAGTAGAATTATACATTCATCTTTGCATGATTAGAAGGTTAATTGTGAAAAGTCACCACCCTTTGGAGTATCAATATATTTTACATATTCAAAACTAGTTAAAGTGATATACTTCCTTAATATAGAATCTAATGTAGTAAAACCATGGTGTGTGCCTATACAAACAATCTTAACTATTGTCTTCCAACAAGAACCATGGTTCCTTCCTCATATTTTCGACACCTAGAAGTTTCGGGCACCAGAGTAAGTTGTTACCAATAAAATGTTCAGACAAACTAACCTTCAAAGCCAACTCCTAAAAGGAAAAGGCTACCATGTTACTTAAAAAATAAAGGCAAAAGAGGGTAAATACATTTGCTCAAATGCTTAGAGTTGATAAAACAATGATGGGTAATATTTTTTGTAAAATGATAAATATGCTTTGGCTTTTGTGTATACTGTACTTCAGAAGATTTATATAATCTGTTTCTGTTCAGAAGCATTTTTTTTCCTTTTTTGTGTAAAAGACCTAGTATATCTGATGCAAAAGTATCAAAATATCATATTTCAATACACATTTAAATGACTACAACAGGAAAACACTGACATAATGTGATACTTAATAATTTCAAGATTTAGCAGTTTAGGAAAGAAACAAAAAGCAAAAGGAAGAAAACTTAAAGTCTTATAAGGAGTATCTACCCATTTAAATATTTTTACCTGAGGAATGATTTGAACTATTAGTAATATATAAAAGGATGGATATTTCAAATAAAAGTTATTATTTAAATCAATCTACAAGTTATATATAATCAAACATTAAAGAGTTATAATTAAAAAATGTCTTAGGGAAAGAAAATAATTTTTTCATTATTGGAAAATGATTTAACTGTCAACTCCAGGTATATCACTATATAAAATACTCCAAAAAAAGATTTGTGTTCATTTCATTGGGGACATTTAAACAACTAGGTTCTTGCAAGACAAGTGCAAGAGAAGTTTTTTCCAGGCCACGGGTAATTACTGATTAAATTTTTTTTAACAATTCAGAACACCCTACACTGCACCAGATTTAAACAGGCATTGCATAAACCAAATGGAGATAAAACCTATCATGAACTTGAATGTGACTCCACATTAGTCACCAAAAGCTCAGTCTTACTTAGCAACTAAGTACAGATAAGAGGATGTCTACTCAGGAGACTCAGAGGTACTGGTTCGCACTGGTCAGTGCATGCACAAACCCCTTGGATAGAACCATCTCTAGATTTTAAAGATTCTTCTGGCTCTTGTTGTTCTTGATCAATGATCTTTCAAAGTTAAGGTCAAATGAGCTGAGTTATAGGACAAGACAGGTGCTATAACGAATGCTTGTATGATACTGGTTTCCTTTCTAAAAATGGTTCAGAATGGTCTAAAACAAACAGTGAGGGCAGAGACTTGTGAAAGACTAAAATGAGGATTAGAAGGTGACTGCATAGCCAATGATGGCGAACCTTTTAGAGCCTTCAATTGATACAAACAGCCCACTGTGGCACACATGCCATAGGTTTGCCACCATTGGCATAAACCATTAGCTGGCAGTTTGGGAAGATAAACTTGTGTCTGCACAGATGGACCTACAGTGCGGCAGTAAGACAGCACAGAACCAAAGTAACTTCTAGTAACCAGCATCTATTCATGCTGCCAGGGGAGGCAAAACCAAAGAAAGAAAAGAAACAAAGGCATAAAGGTAAAACAAAATGAAACAAAGTTACAAGTAAAGAGGTCACGCTGCTATTAAAGAGAAAAGAACAATGCCAGCACATGAAAATTCTTTTGGTTCTTTCAAGTAAGACAGGCAACACTTCATTTGGATCACCAAAAATAACATTTTATGGAAAGGGGACCATGACATTACTCACCAAAGTATAACTGTAAAATCTCAAACAAGACAGGCAATACTTTAGATCTCCAAAAATAACATTTACAGAGAGGGAACTGTTACAAGCAAATGTATAGCTGAAAATTTTCTTTCGCCATCAATATCGATTCCCTCTAAAAGACTTTGGGACGACTTTGTGGTTTCCAAGTACAAACTAAAATCGGTTGGGCAGAGTTGCTCAGCCTCACCACAAGAATGAAAATAGTCTGCAAAAATATCTTCTTTAGTGCTAACAAATAACTCAACAATGTGGCTCTCACAATTAACTGCAACGTCTACCAAAACAGCCTAACCTATGTACACTTTCGTGGACGTTTCACTATGAACAGTTGTTCTTTGCCTGCCATCACAGATGTCCTGTGTACAGCAGGGTTTTATCTGAGCATGTTCAGGTACCCAAGAATTAATTCTTAACAGAGATACTGTAGTAAGTGAGCAATTCAAATAGCAGAGCCTGCCTCTGCTGGAGCTCCCGGGGTAGGCCTGGGGTTCGTGCTCTCTGGCAGGAAGGCCTGCTGTCTCATTAGTTCTTCACCTGGAACCCACAACACAAAGCCAAATAGAGGGGCTGTTCTGATAGGACCATCCGGATGTTAATAAATTGCCCTGGGGTTCTTGGTGCTGTAGTGTGCTTCACAGGCAGCAACATAAGCGGACTCTGGGAAGAAGTCATCATGGTATTCTGCTAAAAACCTAGAAAAAGGAAAAGAAAATGGACCCAATGAGCATCATACTCAGGGCTGAATACTATTAAGCAAAATACTAACTTTCAACCAACTACCATTTCAACTCTTTTTGTATTAGGGAGAAGAAATGATTGTAGTCTTGATTTCTATATAATGATTACTTTCACTACTTATCTGGCTTCAATGTCAATCTTTATCTGAAGCCCTTCACCATCATCAGGTGTAATAGAACCTAAAGTAGAATCTAAACTCCACTCAGTGATAGTCTGGTTATGGAAACACTTCTGTGAAAAAAAGCCTCTGAGTAGTTTCCTGTTTTTCTTTTTTTTTTCCTATTTTTCAAATTATAAAAAATAACAGCTAGGCATGATGGCACATGCCTGTAATCCCAGCTACTTGGGAGCTGAGGCAGGAGGTTCACTTGTTCAAAGCCAGCCTGGGCAACTTAGCAAGACCCTGTTTCAAATAATAAGGGATGGGGATGGGCATGTTGCTCAGTGATACAGCACCCCAGGTTTGATCCTTAGTACTATATAAAACACACACACACACACACACACACACACACACACTCAATATACGTCATTTAAGAAATGGACGCTGCTTATATGTATAAAGTTAACCAAAATTGAACGGAGTAATTAGCAGTAGCATTTTGTGTCCTAATTTGTTATGCTATAAGGTATTATTGTTCTAGCTTTTAATACCAAAACATAAAAAGACTGTTGAAACCTGACTGTACATTCAAGAATCTGCAACATATGTGTAACATCTTGACTCAAACTTCTGCTGATTTTGCTATCAGGGGTTAAAAGACTCTCCAATGTGCAATATTAACTAGCAAAGGAATTTGTTTCATTCTGGTTTTCCCAGCTACTTCCCACCTGTCCAAATTCCTAAACATGTGCAACAACTTCTTCAGTAAAAAACCAAGCCAAAATTCATTTGACAGGGCCAGGGATTTAGCTCAGCGGTTTCGCCGCCTGCTGCGCTAACCACAAGGACCCGAGTTCGATCCCCAGTACTAAAAAAAAAATCATTTGACAGGTAAGTCTTTTTTTCTTCTATTATTACACATATTTTATGGTCATTATCAAGCCCACTGATACTATTTGATATCTTTGGATATATATTTTAAACCTCTTACTATATTTATTTGTAAATCCTTCTAAATTATTTTTGAAAATCCTATTCTCTACTTCATATTTGGAATGCTTCAAAATTAGCAGGCTTCCATGTGCTAACTTACAGCTGTCTCTTCAGATTTTCTTGGCACTATTTGATTTCACAAAATTTTCTATCAAATACAGTTATGGGTGTGAGGGGGAAGCTGGGGGGAAGAGAATATTTTTGAAATTCGTTTCAAATAAAATGTTATAAAGCTTAATTTCACTCACCAAAATTTTGTTCAAAATTCCTATAGGAAAATATCTTTTAAAACCACAATAATGAGCTGGGTGTGATGCCCATGCCTGTAATTCCAGCTACTTGAGAGCTGAGGCAGGAGAATCAACACCCTGTCTCAAGGAAAAAGAAAAAAAAAAGAAGGAAAGTAAGAAAGAGGGAGGAAGGGGGGGAAGGAAGAGACTGGAGTATGCCTCAGTGGTAGAATGCTTGCTTTGTGTGTTCAAGGCTCTGAGTTCAATTCCCAGCATCACAAAACCAAATCCAACCAAACCAAGAAAGTATATAAGACTAATTTCTCAGGGTGGGCACTCCCCACTCTGGCAAGTCCTGCTACCTTAGTCAGGGTGAGGCCTGCCTAGAAGGAAAAGATGCCCTTCCAAGAGGAGGAGGAGACAAGGTCAGATAGGAGGGTCTCGCTGGACAAGGCAGAGTGGAGACTAGCCAGAAGGCCAAGCTAAGGAAGTAGTTAACGATATCTGGATGGGAGAGGGGGCTATTGGAGCTCAGTCACGGTGTGGAGGGTAAGGATGAGGGAGCAAATCCGTGTCAAAAGATCCCATTAGATAAGAAAACGACTGGCTTTATTGGGTGAAGAAGTCAATACCTTTCTCTGAATTCACAAATGTCACAGACTAGTCAATTATCTTCACTCTAAAGTTAAACCCCCAAATCCAGTCCATAAGGGCTAATCTTTAAATTAGTCTGTGTACATGAAACAAACCAAAGTGCAATGCTTAAGTCATTCTTGAATTTAAAAAAATGTAAAATTAAACTATTATGAATCTCAATCATGTCTACTTTAGAAAATTTAATTTCTATTTACAAAGTTATCCAACTGGGTTCTTCTAAGGTCCCCAAAATCTTTTTACCTCAGCACAGTGAATGCCCTTGATTTAGAAATTAGGGAGAAAACAAAATACACACACACAAAAAACCTCCTCCTAGATTACTGTTATGGTGAGAACCCACCATACTTAGGTAACAATGCTCCTATTTAAAATACTATAGAGCTGTCCTCCACTTGTGCGGAAGAGTTTAGAAAAGTCACACATACAACAGCACAGGTAAGTTTTGACAAAGTAATAAAAATACCTCAGAAAGAGATCAAAGTGCTTCAGTAAAGCCTTCAGATTCTTCTCAGAAAAGGACATCTTTCCAAGGATTTCTGGAAGTTTTACTGCATTAAAAGTAAAGGCAAACATATTTGTAGTCAGCAGAATCTGATGCCACAGAACACAGTCTCGAATCATCTGGGACCCTATGTTTCCTTTTGGATCTGACATTAACATCCACATTAGCAAACAAAAACTCCTACCAAACAAAAGTACAGTAGTAGTACAAATATTACACGTTCAACTTTTATGACATTTATGATTTATTCAATGCCTTTCCTTTGAAGAGGTCTCCTTTTGAAAAGCTCAAAATCAAAAGTAACTATATAAAATAGATATTTATAGCCCAAACGACAAGATGTGCACAAGCTATCAAGAGTGCTAAGTTAAAGCTAAGTACAAAATGGAAAGAAGAGAGCAGGGGCTGGGATTCTTACCAAACAATCGCAGCAAATGCTGTGCCCCGTAAATGTAAGAGGGTGGAGGTGGCTGGTCACCTGGAGGGTAATTGTCAGGCACAAGCTTCCAGGAGAGGACCTGGAAAAAGCACAATTTGCATGCCTTCATTATTTCTAATGGAGACACTTCCAACACCTAAATCATATGTCAGGAGATTGCATGAAGAGGAAAAAGGATCTGCCAGCACATCAAAATAAATACACACTTAAAAATGTAAAAAATGTAAAAAAAAGTGAGGGATAGAATGACTTAAAACTAGATTAAGGAAATACTTGATTTCTTAAATTTCAACAGCTATACCTATAAATAACTGAAACTGTTTTGGTCACTTAGACCTTTTTCCTTTATTAGAAATACTGTACTACTGCATCAGAAAAACAAGGAAGCATTAAAAAGTTAATCAAAGATGTTACAAAGAATATCACCATTGTTTTGAGATCCCCTAATTTCCTGCAGTTAGATTCACTATGGGAACTAATATGAATCTTTAAGGTCCATGAATCAACTGACTTTCCAATCTGGTATCTTTGTTCTGTCTTTACTCTGAATTTCGGAACTACGGGTGGACTTGGGGCTTTTGTCAAAGTGAGAGCTGCATTTCAAAGCACCGATGAATTTCCCTAGAAATTCTTCAGCAAATCAGAGACCCTGAGTCTATTCTACTAATTTGCCTCTTTGCCTTTTGGCACACGTAAGATTTAACACAGAAATAGTCACACTGAAAGACACACTATGAGATAAAGCAGAAGAGTGCTCCAAAAATATCGGAAACGCTACTTAGTCAAATTGCCAAAATGAACCCCGTAGAAGCTCACAAGTACCATGGTGGTGCTATTGGACTCCAGGATGAAGGCCCTAGCTTCACTTTAGCTCCTGCCTTGTTGGCTCCAGACTCTTCCAAAGTCCGCCTGCCCATCCTCATGCCACCCTCTGCACAGTAGAGTGCTGAGAGCAGGGAGAGTTTCAGCATCTTTACATCATCCCAGCACCTAATCCAGTGTTTGTGGCTGAAGCTTGGGAAACGCTATGACAGTGATACTCGGAGCATGGACCATGGGGCAATCTGTAATCATCAGATGCATAAACCACACAGTGTGTGCAAAAGCAGATCATTTAGGAAGCAAATCTGAATCAATCAGTTCTGTATTTCAATGCAATGCATAATCTCCTATTTATCAAAAATATGTTTTTATGGGAAAAAATTAGGTTTCCAGAGGAGGGATTCTCAATGGGGATTATATAAGGACTACCTGTATATCTTAACTGGCATAGTCCAGATCTTCCCCTAATGCAGCAGGGGACTGTGCTGCAAAATGAGCCATGGGGGATTTGGATAAAGAGCAATTGCTAAAACACTCTTTAGAGGAGGTGCTTAAGGGCATGGGAATTCACTAAGGGCTCTAGACCTTGTGAGAGCCTGCCGAACACCCTTTTACCAGAAAGCATCCTTCTTCACAGTGGCTTGCAGCTGTACCTGACACCACTAGATGGCAACCTTGAACTGAGGACTAGAGTAGAAATGGTCCTTGCCTGAACACTCAGATATACTTTTAGAGACATGATCCACTTAAATAAAAGCTGCAGTGTCTCCTTGTCTCAAAAATTGGAAGGCTTAGGGTCTGCTTGCACTAGAAATTTCCTAACTTACCCTCAACAATGATTGTAACACAAATCAGGCTTGCTAGCTTCTACATCTGGGGTCAGCCAACTATATATAGCCCATGGGCCAAATCAGGCCAAGGCGCATGTTCTCATATGTGAAAGTCATATGAAATTCAGCTTCTAGCATCCATGAATGAATTTGGGGCCAGATGGCTGTGCCTGTTCATTTATGGATCATCCATGCTGCATTTATGTTGTAATAGCAGATCTGAGTAATCTCAAAAGAGGCCATACAGTATGTACACTGAAAATATTTACAATCCAACCTTTTATACAGAAATAGTTTGATGGTCCCTGTTCCCATCATCAAATGCAACTCCTACTCATCTTAAAAATAACAAATAAGCCAGGGATTTGGCTTAGTGGTTTCGCCGCCTGCTGCGCAAACACAAGGACCCGAGTTCAATCCCTGGTACCAAAAAAAAAAAAAACAAAAACAAATAAAAGAAACCAAAGAAATCTCACCATAGGGGAAATTCACAGAATATCCCAGTGGACTAAGACTTCTTCTGAACCCCAGAAATGCTCACAAACTACATTACCTGAGTGGTCTTAAAAAGTTTTAGAATGAAGTTTCCTTGTCTGTGAAATGGATACCAGGTAGCAAGGCTGTTCTTAGGAATTCAAGGTAACAGGTTCAAGTATCTGGCACAATGTGGAATACAGCATGCCCTCAAAGGGACTGCTATTAGGATTACTGTTGATAATGGAGAAGAATCAGAACCCCAAAGCAGGGGTCAGATAACCATTGCCTACTGGTCACATCTGACCCAACCACTGATTGTTTCTATACTGCCTAGGCTAAACATGGATTTCATGTTTTTAAATGGTTGAAAGACAAAAGAATATTTTGTAACACATGAAAACCATATGCTATTCAAATTTCAGAGTCCATAAGTAAAGTTTTGTCAGAACACAACACACTCATTTTATTTACACATTGTCTGTTATGTTTGGAGTTGACTAATCTTAATGAATGTCACGTGACCCACAAAACCTAAAATACTTACTGCCTGCCCCTTAGCAAAAGTAGTGTATTGATGCCTGTTCTACAAAATGAAAATACAAATATTTCAGTAATTGCACTTAGGAAGAAAGATGATTGTTAAGTACAGGGCTAAAACCCTAAATTCAATAGATATGCCTCTCCTTTCACACAATCAGCATGTTCCTGAGAAACTACATGGGAAGAAAATTTTTTAAAGCAAATTATATTTTTCCAAGTACATGAAGAGCTTTCTATTTAAAAGAATCCCAGGAGGGCCTGGGATGTAGCTCAGTGGTGCTGTGTCTACCTGGCAAGCACAAGGTCCTGAGCTGGATCCCCCATATGGGTTGGAGAATCCCAGGAGGAATCCCATCTTAGAATGAAGAATCCTATTGTAATGCAAATGATTGCCTCCTAATTTACCTGTTTTCTAATTCAAATAAACCCTAGTTTATTCAGAATGACCAAAGAGCAGAGTCTTGTGGTTAATTGAATATTCATGTTAATTTGGAATATCTATATATACCATATGTTGACTACCAATTTTCATAAAACAAGAATACAATAAAATACAATAAAACATACTTAACAAGAAAAACAACAACAAAAAGAAACTAGGATTTAACCACCACAAAAGGTAAAGGAATCATTAGAGATGAACATCAAACACTTATCTCATTACCTCATTTATTTCATTAGTTCTTCTCCCTTCAAAGCCTGCAAACACACCACTCCCTTCCTTACTAGGAGTCAGAGGAATGGGGGAAGAGGATCTGCTATGCACAGGTGTCTCTTGAAAAGAAAGGTGTAATTATTTGCCCATAAGTTACAAAGCAATTGCATTAAAGACTATCATCAAGATCATTACAAAAAGCAGAACATAAATCTATAACTGGTTCTTAGAAATTACTAATCTTTAACAATAAGACTTTCCTCCTATAAAAGCTTGCATCTGGAGTATCATTTGGTTATCGCTTCTCGGCCTTTTGGCTAAGATCAAGTGGAGTATCATTTGGTAAAAAAAGAAAAAGTCCTGACTCATGTTACATGATGAACCTTGAAAATGTTATACGAGGTTGAAAGGAGCCAGTCACAAGGGGTCACATATTGTGATTCCATTTCTATGAATTGTCCAGCACATGCAAATCCAGACACAAAGTAGCTCAGTGGTTGTGAGAGGTGTGGAGGGAAGGGAAATGGGGAATGACGGCTAATGGGTATGATGTTTCTTTTTGGGGTGTTGAAAATGTTTTGTAATTGATCAGAGATGTTCACAACTCTTTGAATGTGCTAAAAGCCACTGAACTAAACACTTAAAATGGGTGAAGTGTACGGCACGTGGATTATGTCCTGATAAAAGTGTTCAAAGACAGTGCCACTAAACTCACTTTAATATGGTTACTTTGTGTGAATTTTATATCAATAAATAAAAATGGCAAGAAAAAAACATTGACAGTGCTCCATGTCTGAGGACTTTACAAGAAGTGTGTGTGCCTTTTATCCTTGCCAAGTGAACCTTCCTGCTCTTCACTCAATCATTACTTACTAACCACCTGCATACATATTATGTGATTCCATTTATATGAAATGCCTCAAATAGGCAAATCTACGCCAGGGAATACAGGGATGGGCGAATGAGGAGTGACTCTAACACATGTGGGCGGTAAAAATATCTGGAACTGGTTCGGGTGACGGTTGCATAACCCTGAATATATTAAAAACCACTTTAAATGGGTAATTTGTGCAATCTGTGGATTTATCTCAAACTGCTAAAAAATAGCACCTGATTTTTTTCTGATACTTGAATATTCAAAAGGATCCCTTTAAAGGCATGTCTTGAAAACAAGAACAAAAACAAACCAACCCCCCTAGAACTGCTCATTTTGAACACATCGTTAGGACTATACACAATGCGGGACTCTCTCAATTCAGTCTGCTCACACAAAGTGGTGGAGACTGAGGAGGAAGAAGCTCAGGACACAGAGCCCTGACCCGCTTCTCCCACCATCTCACTGTGCTACCCATGCCAGCTGCTTCCTCCTTCTAGGGCTGTTTCCTCTTCCAGGAGGCGGGTGGCCTAGCAGTACTGGGACATGTCCTGAGAATCACACACTATACTCGCAGGCATGGGGGCAACACTGCAGTCTGGCCGACTGAGTGCAGAGCAAGCGGCAGCTTTCCCGCCCGGGGGCTCTTGGGACTACACTTACTCTTTTCCAGATGCAGGAAGAGCTTGGGCATGCTGGCAGACGTGTCCTGCTGCCGCCGCTTGGGCTGAGGAGAAGCACTGCTCTCGGACAGCCTGTCACAGTTGGTGCTGTGGCGTGTGGAGCGACGCAGAGACTGCAAGGCTTCTGGCTCGGCTTTGCGCCTCTTGGGGGTGGCAGGTTCACCTGTGGTCGGCTGACTCTCTGTGGACTGCGGTGTGGAGGGATTCAACAAAGGCGGGCTGGGAGAGAGCTCCTCCTGGCTCCTAAGCGAGAAGGACAAGGTCACATGCGGCCACTGTGGAGCCTCTGCAGAACCTGGGGACACTTTAAAGGGCCTCCTGAATTGGAAACCTGCTTTCCCTCCAGGAGAGCTACATAGCTGCAACTCTGAAGGTGCCAAAACACATATTTTCTTAATCACTAAATACATTAAATCACTTTAATCCTCTCCATATCTCTGCAAGGCTGGCTACCACTAAAGATTATGCTTCTTTTATATTCTCTTAGAGCAGTGGCTCTCAAGTGGAGCACTTTTGGTCTAAAGGGACAGCTGGCAATGAATGGAGACGGTTTTGATTGTCACAGCTGAGGGAAGGTGGGCTACTGCTGTCCAGTCACACAAGCGTGTCCAACCTTTTGGCTTGCCTGGGCTATACCGAGTGAAGAGAAATTGTCTCGGGCCACTTATAATATATATAATAAAGTGAATGTACATAAGTAATGAAATTTCCTTTGTTTTTTTGTATTTGTTATTATAACACTGAAAGAAAAGAAGGCGAGAAGCTTGTGGGGCTGCAGGTTGGACACACCGGGGAAACCTACTGCTAAACATCCTACACTGCACAGGAGGGCCGCCACAACAGAGAATGATCCAGTCTAAAACATCCACAAGGCTGAGGGTGAGAAACCTTCATCTGGTTACAGAGTAAGAACACTATCGGGCCAGGGATTTAGCTCAGTGGTTTCGCCGCCTGTTGCGCAAGTGCAAGGACCCGAGTTCAATCCCCAGTACCAAAAAAAAATACGTATAGCCAGGTGTGGTGGCACACATCTGTCATCCCAGCTACTCAGAAGGGCTGGGGATGTAGCTCAGTGGTGTACTTGCCTAGTATGTACGAGGCCCTAGGTTTGATCCCCAGTATTTAAAAAAAAAAAAAAAGACCACAGCATTTTATCCAAATTTAACTATTGAAAAAAAAATCACAAGCATTGCAGAATCCCTCCTGGATACTGGGAATCTCAAGATGTGGAGCAGGCCATGGGGACTTCAACACAGGTCCCCAGTGAGTATCAGTCTCTCAGCTGAGGTGAAACTGTCAGGCGGAAAGAAGAAGCCACCAAAGGGAGATGGCAGAGAGGGAGAGAGAGAACCAAGAGCCATGGAGCAAAGACAGAAAGGGCGAGTGAGAAGGGTGGCTGACGCAAAGCACAGTGTGTGCCAAGTGGGATGGCACTAATGCCCCTGGGGAAGTCTAGTGGCCTTGGAGGGAGGGCGGTCGTAGATAAAGGCAGATGGTAAGTGCTTAAGAGAGATGGATGCACGGAAAGCTTGAGAATAGGTTGCTGTCTCAAACAGAAGAGAGAGATGGCATAGTAGCTTACAGACATCAAGGATAAAGGCTTTAGTATGGAGACCACCCCCCAAGAATAGAGATTTTGACTCTTTCCTAGGCAATAAGGAGATGAGATCTTCTGCAAAGGGGAAGGGCACTAAAAGGTAGAGGGAAGGAAGAGGGTGAGGAGCAGAAAAGAATAAAAACAAATTTAGATCTGTTATATACATTTACCAACTTCCCACGATGAATGTGATCATTACATACTATGAATATGAATAAAAAATAAAAAACAAAAAACAAAGAATAGAGACCTGAGCAGGTCTGGCCATTGAGGGAAAAAAAGTGGTGACACAACATAGCAAGAAAGGAACCAACCTTTACTAGGGCCAAGGGTTGCTGGCCCCTTGGGGACAGCCTCATTTAATTCTAACCACCTGGGAGCCAGAGGTTCCTATCATGTCCACATGCAAATGCAAGAGGCTCAGAAAGAACCTTCCTCAGTCACCCAGAAGCAAGTGGGGGAGCAAAATTCAAGCCTACTCCTTCTGCCCTTCCTGGCCTGTGCTCTCTTCACCCTATCCACAGTCTTCTGAAAGAAGGGGACAGCTGCTTACAATCCAACCTACATTTCCTCGCCTGGAATCGTCACATGGGAAAATCTTTCAAAGCCATGAGAAAGTGAATGATGACTTAGCTTACACCGGGGGAAGAAAAAACCCACCAGTATGGGCACTTTTCAATCATTTCCCTTCTCTAAACGCATTGGCTCCATTGCATCAGACTGAACCTCAACAAAAGAGTTGATTATTATAGTACTGACATCTGAGAGTGAAGGTGAAAACTATCTAACTTACCTATTAGTGTTTGTGGCACTTTCTTTAATTGGAAGAAAAAATTTAGACGATGTCACCTTTTTATACTGAGCTTGTTCATATGGGTAGAGCAAAACCAACGGAAGAGTATAATCAAAGGTTATTCTCAGTCCATCCACCATCTCCTTACAAAGGTCAACACTAGGAAGATTAAAAAGGAGATTAGAGACTCAATAAATGAGAGGTACTTTCCAAATTTTCCCAGTGAAGGTGCACGTTCTTAATAGGGCATTCTTCTTCATTTTCCTCTTTTTTTTTTTTTTTTTTGTCTCTCCTTAGGGCAGACTTCTTAAAAACATTATATATCTACATATACAAAGAATGAAATGAATCTATAGAGGTTAACAATAAAGAGTTAAATAGAGAAATAGACCTATATTATAAAGTTCAGAAAGCATATTAGTGACCTTAACTTACCCATTTGACACAAATGAATAGGCTCAATGCCACGAGGAGTCCCAGCAGCCTGCACTGCTGACAGTGGACAGGTGGACAGTGCCTGATGGACTCCTAACCTGTTTCAAGTCCAACACTCTACCTCTATGACTCTGGTCCTGTCAAGTCACATAGGCAAGGTGGGATATGAGGAAGGCTCATCCGACTAGAATCAAGACCTGTCTGTAACCATGCTTTGATCAAATTCTCATTGCCTTTTCTGGTGCTTCTTAAGGAAAAAGAGTTCTGGCCTTTTATGATATCATTGCAAATACTGGTCTCATTTGCCAAGGCAATGTACTATCAATCCAGGCTAGATGTGCAAAGAGTTAGCAAAGATTTCACAAAAGCGATACTATTTTGACACTTCATTACTGAATGAGTTAGCAACAAATTAATCATCAAACGATACATATGAAATGAATTCAAAATAAATGAATGGAGAAAAGTATTCCCTGATCTAACCCCTATACCCAAAGAGAGAACCACAAGATACCAAACACATCAGTACTCACTTCTTTTCTGCTGGAATATAATGCACATTCATGTTGGCATGCACCATAGCATGATGGTGACGAGGCCTCTCATTGGCTGAAAAGGCTGCATTGATAGCAAAATGCTTCACATAAGATTCCAAAATAGTTATGATGTTGGTCTGGCATGGAAGTTTCACTAACTGTTAACAAGAATACAGAGGTCTAATGTATGCATCTCATTGTAATAAACTATATATTCCAAGAAAGAGTGGTTGTGTCTCTAATCACTTTTTTTTCACAAGCCTCAAGAAAATGAAGTTCTTTTTGAAACTTCTTTGGGAATTTTCTATATTCATTATGATTATTAATTAAATATATAAACATGCATATAAATTAACATCACCAATTCCTTCTTCCTATCTATGCACAAACATTGTTTAAAAATAAAAAATAAAGCAAAGCCAATCCTGCTTGAAGAGAGCTTCTTAAATAAATGTGCTTTGACTCTCTGATCATAGTTCCCTTTACTGATCACATGCTCATATGATTACAGTATTACTTTTTTGAGTAAATGTAAGCAGTGATCATCAAGTTTAATATTATATTAGGATAACCTGGGGGAGCCTCTAAAAATACACCCACAGAGTCCCCCACCACAGATCAACTAAATAATAATCTCTCAGTTGAAATCTAGGTATCAGAATTCTGGAAAGCTTCCTAACAGTGTGTGCTATAGGTTCACCACCATTGCTCTAGAAGCTTCACCTGGGCAATCCAGGGCTGTAGGAGTTTTAGGTTAATCAGAAGTACAGCATCACTGTCAGCGAACTTTAAAACCCGATTCAGTATAAAAATGAAAATGTAAATTTCATTCCTTCAAGCTTCTCAATTGTTTGGCACTGGGACTGCAAACTATGGTTGAATGAAAGCACTTTACCAAATCCATGTCTTTTGGTTCTCCCCACATACCCGTTTCCTCCTGTTAATATAGTAACAATCATCTTCAAGTTGCTTCTTCAGAACTTCAGGGATGTCTATAGTTATTGTTCTTTCTTCCATTTCCTTTCTTGTTTGCAGCTCTAGTTTTTCTTTCTGTAACGTTGCAATTCCATTTTTAATTATTTAAAATAGGAGTCTATATACAAAGATGACCTACCACATGAGAGCCTATTATGAAACAAATTGAGTTAATTCTCAACATTCATATGTTCTAATTAAAAGTATGCTAATGGCCAAAAATCAACATGTTTTATGGCATTAACTACATTGCAAATGCTTATTTTGTTTCTTTCTCATTTAAGTTTACCACTGCGGTTTATGTTAACTTTGGAAGCAGGAAGAAGAGGCCAGACTCTGTTATGCTCCACTAAAACATTTAACTATTACAAAATAACATTCAGAATTTTACTGAAAGAAAGACATAATTACAATTTTGTGGAAACATTTTACAGGTACAAAGAGCCGCTAAGAGGCTCACATAGTAACTGTGTAGAGTTGTAAATATCAAGTAAAGATTTATAATATTGGTCTAAAAATGTACCTTTAGAAAATAATTCATAACTAGAGAATTTTACCACTAAAATATACACCGAAGACAGAATTTTTAATGATAAAAACTTTTTATACCACTTCAGTCTTTTCTTCAATATCACTTTCTTCACTTATTTCTTCATCCTTTTCTTTGCTGTCATCAGAGGAACTGCTTATGGCTAATGTGAAACAAAGTATCAGGCAAACTCCTATTGTATACTTTGCCAGCTGCTACATTCACAAATCTTTAGTTACAGTGTGTATCCTAGAATAATGATCTGGAGACCTGCATATATTTTAAATGTTAAACACAAGTACTGTATTTTTCTGAATAGAAATTTATTTTAGGTAAATATCAATTTCAGCAGATGCAAAAATTACATGAGATAATGATCTGAAAGTGTTTCATCTGGTTCCCTGCTGGATTCGTAAGTGGGACAAGACTCAAGTGGTACCGAGAAAAGAATGGACCACGAGAAAGGACCTGTGAGGGGTTCACTGGCTGAAAATGTAGCAGTCATGAGCACGATTCTGATAAAGTCTTGTTAGTGACATATTGATTTATCATGTTGACTGGTACTTTGTCAAAAAAAGAAGGATCACATATTATACAGACACATTGCGACACGATGGGGTTATACAGTACTCAATAAACTCACTGTAAATTGAAAACCTTTTAAGTGAAAATGCACTGAATACACCTAGTGTACTCACCATCATATCTTACTACTTTAAATGCTCACAGAACACTAACAGTTGGGCAAACTCATCTAATACAAAACTTACTTCATGACCAAGTGTTAAATATCTCATATAATTAAAAACTCCATTAAAGCTGGGCCAGGGATTTACCTCAGTGGTTCCACTGCCTGCTTCACAAACTCAAGGTCCTGAGTTCAGTCCCCAGTACCAAAAAAAAACCAACCAAACAAACAAACAAAAAACCTCCATTAAAAGTGGAAAACAAAGTGGTTACAGGGGTATGCTTTGACGCAGCTATAACCCTCCTGGGTATATTTCGGAAATATGTAAAGACGTTATACTGATACATGCATACCCGTGTTTATTGTACTGCAATTCACAACAGCCAAGTTCTGGAAACAGCCTAGATGGCTATCAACAGATAAATCAGTTAAAAAAATGCGGCATATATATATATATATATATATATATATATATA